CACGAAAGTTGTAAACAACACCATACAAGGATAGACATTCCATATTTGGAAAAACGAACGTTACGGGGCAGATATTCAAATTCATTAGTCATCGATGCAGGCTCTCAATTCAGCTTGAGAGCCTGTTCGCAGGCTATAAGTACCTCCTCAGTGCGACTCGAACCCAGTCCCCATGTGAAAAGAGTAAAAGTCAACGCTCTGCCGAAAGCCGTGGGTTTTCCCCGGGTACTCCGGTTTCCTCCCACAGGGAAAGTTGACAGGGTGGGTTAGGTAAAAAAGGGCCCACAGTAATTGGCACATGCTGTTGTGGTGACCCTGCCCTAGTTGGCAAAGCTAAATAAATAAATAAATAAATAAATCTTGGAGAATAATTCTCACCGTATAGTATAACCCCCACGGACCACAAGTCCACAGAGGCGTCGTACGTTGTTGAACAGAACATTTCTGGCGCCTACAACAATAAAAGAATTGATTAATTTTCTATTTTTAAAAATGCGTGAAACCATTTGAGGAAAGAAAACTGATGCTACCATATATAAAGGTGAACCACGTAGATTCGTGCTGTCCATTTCATCCTTAAGATACTGCGCAAAACCAAAATCTGAAACAGTTGTATTTTTCAGGTTTAGTAAGACTGGGCCAGTAAATGATGAACTTTACTGAACCTCAAGGGAGAACAGTTTAGAACTGATAGAGCTAACCAGCATAAATAAAGTTAGTTTAGCTTAGGTTTCAGTAGTATAGGGAAGGGGGGTTCTGGCGCGGGTGGTGCACTAAGGACCACACATGACATCATTACAGTGTATTTCATATCATTTTCACGCGCTTAAGAAAATTTTTTCATTGAATCCTAAGATTGAATCATTGAATCACATGATTCAATCTATGATTCAATGATTCAATTTTAGGATTCAATGATTGAATCTATGAATCACATGATTCAATCTATGATTCAATGATTCAATTTTAGGATTCAATGATTCAATCTTATGATTCAATGATTCAATCATATGATTCAATGATTCAATCTTATGATTCAATGATTCAATCTTAGGATTCAATGATTCAATCATAGGATTCAATGATTCAATCTTAGGATTCAATGATTCAATCTTAGGATTCAATGATTCAATCATATGATTCAATGATTCAATCTTATGATTCAATGATTCAATCATATGATTCAATGATTCAATCTTATGATTCAATGATTCAATCTTATGATTCAATGATTCAATCTTAGGATTCAATGATTCAATCTTAGGAATCAATGATTCAATCTTAGGATTCAATGATTCAATCTTAGGATTCAATGATTCAACCTTAGGATTCAATGATTCAATCTTATGATTCAATGATTCAATCTTAGGAATCAATGATTCAATCTTAGGATTCAATGATTCAATCTAGGATTCAATGATTCAATCTTAGGATTCAATAATTCAATCATAGGATTCAATGATTCAATCTATGATTCAATGATTCAACCTTAGGATCAGAATCAATGATTCAATCTTCGGATTCAATGATTCAATCTTAGGATTCAATGATTCAATCTATGATTCAATGATTCAATCTTAGGATTCAATGATTCAATCATAGGATTCAATGATTCAATCTATGATTCAATGATTCAACCTTACGATCAGAATCAATGATTCAATCTTCGGGATCCAATGAAAAAATTTTCTTAAGCACGTGAAAATGATATGAAATACACTGTAATGATGTCATATGTGGTCCTTAGTGCACCACCCGCGCCAGAACCCCCCTTCCCTATACTACTGGTTTCCTTCTGCAGAAACACTCGATCAATAAGAGATGATCCTTACTGGACCTCTAGGAAGAACAGTTTAGAACTAATAGAGCTATCCAGTATAAATAAAGTTAGTTTAGTTTAGGTTTCCTCCTGTAGTAACACTGGATCAATTAGGGATGACGTTTTCTTCCTGTATGAATAGAGTTAGTTTAGGAGTTAACATGCAGAAATCTCATCTTTCATTTCAAAAAGTGAATACTCTACCTGCAATTTTTAATGTAGGATTTTCTTTTGACGATAATAATAAGTTTTGTGGCTTGAGATCCATGTGTGCAATATCTTTGCTATGCAGAAATTTCAAAGCCAGCGCTAGATACAAATAAAGAATATCCTTAAAAATGATAATCATTGTCTTTCTGCTTATTATTCAGGTATAAACTGGTTAATAATTCATGAGCGAAACACAAAAAAAATTATTGTCTTGATATCACGGTTACATAATAAACGTCCACAAATTAATTTTGTGTTGGATTTCTCTTTAAATACTTGTTTGTTTGAAAAGTTATATCTTGCACTATAAGTTGTTTATTCTAGAGATTCTAAAACACCTCAAAGTATATTACTAAAAGTTGGCTACTGCCTCATTTTTTACACATTTTTTTGGTGTAGAAAACTTACCCAGTTGTTGAAGGAATTTCTTGGCAATGTTTTCAGGCAGGCATCGTCTTGTTTGAATAAATCTGGACAAGTCTCCACCACTGCAATATTCCATGATCAGAAACAGATAGTCCTTGTTCCACTGGAAATAAAACAATATACTTGGTGATGTGGTGATTATGGTGTTGGTGGTGGCAATGTTGATTATGAGGGTGATGGTAATAATAATGGTAATGATGAGGGTGATGGTAGTGATGATAATGGTGATGATGAGGGTGATGGTAATAATAATGGTAATGATGAGGGTGATGGTAATGATAATAGTGATAATGGTAGTGATGATGGTGATGATGAGGGTGATGGTAGTGATAATGATGGTTATGAGTGTGATGATGAGGGTGATGGTAGCAATAATGATGGTTATGAGGGTGATGATGAGGGTGATGGTAGTGATAATGATGATTATGAGGGTAATGATAAGGGTGATAGTAGTGATAATGATGGTGGTAATGATAATAGTGATAATGGTAGTGATGATGGTGATGATGAGGGTGATGGTAGTGATAATGATGGTTATGAGTGTGATGATGAGGGTGATGGTAGCAATAATGATGGTTATGAGGGTGATGATGAGGGTGATGATGATGATTATGAGGGTAATGATAAGGGTGATGGTAGTGATAATGATGGTGATGAGGGTGATGATGAGGGTGATGATGATGGTAGTGATGATGATGGTTATGAGAGTGATGATAAGGGTGATGGTAGTGATAATGGTGGTTATGAGTGTGATGATGAGGGTGATACTAGTGATAATGATGATTATGAGGGTAATGACAGAGGGTGATGGTAGTGATAATGATGGTTATGAGGGTGATGATGAGGGTGGTGATAATGATGATTATGAGGTAGTGGTAATGATGGTGATGTTGGTTATAATGTTTGATACTTTAATTGTGATGAATCAATAAAGTTGTCCAACAGATTAAGACTTTTTAGCCCACACTACCAACCTCAAAATCTTTGAGTTGAACAACATGATCATGATTGATTTCTTTCAATAATTTAATTTCAGTAAAAAGATTTTCAATAGCAGACTTTCCAAGTTTTTTCAAGTATATACACTTGATGGCAACAACCTCACGAGCCTCACCCTAAAGGACGATAATGTGATAACACACAGCTGCCTGTGATAACATGCTGGAAAGTATGCCACTTTGGCTATGAAGCCTTGTTTGTTCATGTACCTGACATCAGTTAAAGCCTAACATCTCAATCATCAAAATGGGGCTCAATAACCAAGGCAATCTACTCTGGAAGCATGTATTGCCACCCAATTTACTCACATATTTAAATTGGATCCTAGGACAAACAGTCGCAAATCACAACATTGTGTATTCTCAATCTCACATGAAAGTTTCTAACAACTGCTTAAAGGCTAGCCAATCAATGTGAGGCTCTATAACATGATATGTTAATCACAATGTATGTTAATCACAATGTAATTCACGTAAGTATACCCAACGTTTTGTATACCTTCGACTGTTCATCAATCATCCTTAGATGCAAACAACGGCAGACCACAAAAACACCGATTTTAACAAACAAGACAGCAAAAACATGTGCAAATTTTACCTTCCTGTAAGCTTTATACACAGTAGCGTACGTTCCTTGACCGAGTTTCTCTGTCATAACAAAATGCTCTAAACATGGAGGAGGAAGCGAATTCCTCCCTCCTCCAAAATTCGCCATTTTTAAAAAATCTCTTGTTTTCAACTCAGGCATATACAGGCAGGCCATTTTTAGGGTGTTTGCAGTCGGGCAGAAAGGCCTACCAATTTCCAAAGTTAAAGTTTTAATTTTAGACTCATTTTGCATTATAAGCGAGTCCTAAACTTTTCCAGCTGATATTCAAAGCAATAAAAAGTAAAAAAGTTGTTGGAAAAATCCATATCTTAGTGATTTTATACAATTTTAGGCGAATTCCGACAGTTTCCGAGCATGTGGCGATAGTGTCCCGACGCCATTTTGTTATGATTTCGTTTGGCGGAAAATGGCGGAAAAAATTTTACAGACCGCGCCAAGCGATTATATTAGTGTTATAGTAAACTTCAAGAATCTACGATTTATGGTTAGTTCTGAAATTGTGTTTTGAATTCAACTGAAAACGATAATAATGTATTTTTTATAGATTCTTTAATTAAATACCAATTTAAAGTTGTTCGACTTGGTGTATAAACAAAAATAGCACGTGGTACTTTGAATATTTGCGACATTTTGCTCTCTGTACTGGGTATTATCCTTTAATACCGGATATGGAAAGTAAACTATGGCACATAGAGCTAAAAAATTAAGGGCTTAATATGTTTTCAAGCCTTGTGGCTTATAGATGTGATTTTTTGTTTTCATATATTGAAGACAAAATATGTGCCCCCTCCCCTCCCTGGGAAAGGCCTAGGGGAATGAGAACCCCCTGTTCCTGCAGTTGTGGCCAGATAAAGGAATCCAGAATATAACACTAATTCCATTACCCTAATCCCTTAACGAAACCATATTCAGACTTGATTTTTCTTTAGCCACTAGTAGTATATTGCAATGGATGATATTGTATTTCCAAATCACGTTGTAGCCGAGGATTTGTGCTAAATTGAATATAGAAACATACATACAACTTTACACGGTCAAGCCTGTTTGTAGAAAGTTTGCAATGTGGGCAATGTTTCATAGAGTTTGTAGTAACATACCTTTTATAATAATTATAAATATATTTTCTTTTAACAGACCTTGATCAAAGAAAACTACCTCATCTCAGATTTAATTAGGGAAGTCGAAAACACATTTGCAAAACTCTGTTCAGTGAAGTATGTGGCTCTTTCTAGTACACATACATTTTAATTTGTCCGGTGTACATTTTCACACAATTACACGTGTATGCTTTATATTTTTCAGAGTTAAAATCAAGACATTAAAGAACTCTGTTAATGCTGTCCTGCCGGACTGGTATCCGGTAGCCCCCTTAATAAGAAATCAAGATGAAATTTTTGCCTTTACAGGTATATTTAATGTACGATACTTGTTAAGGGGTAATGTTACATTACTTGTTTTTATTTACCTTGAGAATAGACTATGAATAGGCCAATTTCCGCTCAGAAAATATTTCTGCAGAAAGAACATTTTGTAAAAAAAAAATTTGAAGTTGAAAATTTTCAACTTTTAACAATGATATTTTCGGAAAATTTTCTGTCTGTGGAAATTTTTCTTGAGTGGAAACGAGCCTTTACTGTTCAGCGAGCTTAGCAGCTCTAACTAATAATGGTATTTTTCTGTTGTTAGATAATGCAGCTGAAGTGTTGAATATTGATTTGACAAAACATGGCAACTGTGGTTCAATTGCAGTATCACCGTTGGGGTCTGGCATAATGCCTGACTCAGGGTTTACAAGTCCAATAGTGAAGCCGAGGACTTTTAGGGGATCGGATGGACCACTGGAACGGAAAGGGATGGACGGGGATGGAGTAGAAAGACAAAAGAGATCTGACGAGAACTTTAGCCAAGATGAAGGCAATGAGTTATTAAGTGAAATATTTAGCTTGCAAGATCACAAAAACGACATGCAAGTTCGAGGTCAAGGGAAGAAACTTGTTGGAAATCTCAGGACGAACACTACAGATAGTGAAAAAGAAAGAGAGAGTTCACTTGAGGTCGAGCAAGCTAGAAAGACATTCGGAAAAACACAAAAAACAAAAACTGCCGGCAAGAACTTTCAAGAAACTACGACTTCGCCAAGAAATGAGATAATGGACAAGAGCCCGAATGAGCCGGATTCTTTGGTAGGCCAAGAAAAAACTGTGAAGAACTCCTTCGATGATAATCAGGGAAAAAAGGAGGTTTATAAGTCGAAGAAAAAGACTGTAGCATCAGACAGCGAGTCAAGTAGCGATAGCAGTAGTGAAAGTAGCTGGAAGTCAAATGAATGTACTAATAAAGCACACGAGATTAAGAATGCATCTCAACAGAACAAATCATCTCAAAATAACGATAATGTGGAATCGTTTGGAGCTGCCAGGAAAGCAAAAGAGACTGAGAAAGCTTCCGAAGTGACGAAGTCAACAGGGAGTGCTCAGAATAAAGGTGGTACCCAAAAACTAAATATAAAAAGGAAGAACGGTTCTTTTAACATGAGAGCGAAATTGTTTCAAGAAAATAATATACAGGGCGCTGCTGGGCATGAGAGCGACTCGAGTGACGACTCGACAGATAATGAAGAGATGGATGTCGATAAGAAACATGGAAATAAAAACATAAAACTGGCATTATCTTCGAGAAAGCGGGCCAAGGTTTCAGGCGAAAAAAATGATGAAAATATGGAAGTGGATGCAGAAAATGTTACGAAAGAGAATTCTGAATTGGTTTCTAAAACTGGGAAGGTTAAGTCTGCGGCGAATACGGGAAATAAAGAAAGCGAGTCAAGTGATAGTTCATTGGTGGTCGATGAGGGAGGTGGTGGAGGAAGCAGCAAAGAAAAAGCGAAGACAACAGGCGTGGAGTCGAAGGAAATAGAAAATGGAAAGGATGCTTCAGCTAAAGTTTCTGCGAAGAAAGGAAAGAAGATCGGTGAAAAGACAATGATTGCTGATGAACAGGATGATTGCAACAAGATTACGGGCAAAAAAACGGATGACAGTAAAAATAGAAAAGGGAAAGAAACCAAAGCTTCTGAAACTAGTACTCCGACAAAAAGCAGCGGAAATGCAATACCAAAAATTATGTTTATAAATGACAAAGATATGCAGGAATCTTCCTCGGACGATGAAAGTGCTGTTGGCACACAAGAGGGAAAAACCAAGAAGGTCAAAGGTGAAATGTCGGCAAGCAATAAAAAGGATCATACAGGAAAAGAGAGTATGAAAAATGAAAGTAAAGGTGACACTAAGAAATTAGATACAAAGTCTGGAACGGCAAAGAAAGATCAATCTAGGAAAGACGAAAGCTCTAGTGATAGTAGTGGCTCCAGTAGTGACTCAGACGAGAGGGAACCATCGAAGAAACCAAAAAACAACAATGAAAAGAAGAATGACAATGCATTTAAGAATAGAATAAAAGTTATGGATATTACCATGAAAGATACGGCCAAGGAAACAGAAAACGTCAAAGAAACGAATGTTGGCAAAAAAGATGAGAACAACGACGTCAAGAAAGCGAAACCGGACGAGGAAAGTGATTTAACTTCTGTCTCCGATAGCAGCTGGAGCTCAAGTGACGACGAAGATAAGGAAGTAAAAACAACAAATGTAAAAACATTAAAAAATAAAAATGAAACAGCAACGCGAGCAGTCAAAGATGAATCTCCAACGGATGTCGTAGACGGTGTTAAAAGCAAGAGTAAAAACGATAATCCAACAACACCAGCCCCTAAAAGTATCAGTAAAGGCGGGGTGGAGGACAATACCACCAAAGTGAAAGGCAAAAGAAAGGATGCGGTCAAGAACGACGACAAAGATAAACAAACCAATTTGGATGCGGCGCCTTCCCCCGCGAAAAGTGTCCGTCATAAAAAGAGCAAAGAAAATTCGAATAAAAATACCTTCGCTTCTCCTGCCAAAAGTATTGCTCGCAGCAAGAAGGGCGGTTTATCAAAAACTAATGCTGATGAAGCGAAAGATACTGAAGTTGATGCTAAATCCGAGAGTTCTGTTTCGACGCTGAAAGCTCCATACACGCAGTTGCCTGCGAAGGACAAGGCGAAGGGTCATTCTGAGAGTGGAGGTAGTGACGACGACGCTGTGAAGAAGGGCAAGGAGATATTAAAAGTTGGGAAGAAGAAAGGAAAACATAATTCAACTGATAAGAAAACAGGTCATGGTAAGTGCTCATGATACTTTACCATCATTTCCACCATCAACACAACTATCATCATCATCGATACCAGCATCATCATTACTACCATCATCACAACTATCACCACCACCACCATCGTCATCACTACCACAATCATCACAGCTACTATCATCAATACTATCACCATCATCAAAACTATCATGATCATCATCACCATCATCGTCATCAATTATACCAAGCATATAACATTTTATCTATCTTCCTATAGTTGTCACAACATCAGCAGACCAAATAGAACCAAAGGATCCTAAGACATCCATCTTGTTCCCTCAAACACCAACGACCCGAAAAAAAGCGGCATTGTTGTCCGCCAGTAAAGTTGCGTCTTGGCTGTTGTCCAATCCTGTGACAGAGGACGTGGCTGACGTAACCAGCAATGAAACAAAATCACCGCAAACACGTTCAAAAAACAAAACTAAAGATAATATAACCAATCTGCTTGAACCAACTAACAACGAAACGGCACTAAAACCACCAAAGAAAAATTCAAAAAACAAATCTAAGGAAAATGTTCCCAAAGTCGAGTCAATTGTGGATAAAATCGACAGCGACAAGACTCTTCTGTCGCCAAAAGGAGCAACTCTGTCACAAAAAAGAAAGTTGGACGAAGTTAGCGAGCAAGAACAGTCAATAAAATCGAAGAAAAATAAGAAAAAGAAATCGGAGGGGAAGAAGAACGAGAAACAACAACTCAATGAAGAAACTCAAGGTGACTAACGTTCTGAGCAGTGTTACTAAGCTCTCTGGTTTTGTTTGTTGAAGAAGTTTTGTATATATATTAATGAAAATATGTTTACCGCAGGAGCAGAAATTGAGTGTAAGAGAACAGAAATTGAGTGTGATACACATTCAAATAGATCTTACGGTACTGACCTCTTTTTTTGTGAAACTACTTTTCTTTTCAGTTGCAAACAAAACAAGAACATAATCTTGATGAAACCTGTCTTTGAAAAAGATACGAAATTAAGCCTATTCTCCAGTCCTCGCATGAAGCAACTGACATGTGACTGCAAGCTCATCATAGAAAAGAAGTTATGACTTCCTTACTTGATAACTGTACGAAACTTTCAAGCGTGTTGAGATTTTCATATTGAAATACAAACGCCTACAGCGAGCTTCGTGTGAAGACTAAAGCCCGGATCATATGAGAATTGATGTGCATGAGAGTTGGCTGGCAGTCACATGACCTTGCTGTTCTTAATGCTTTCCCAACAAGACCGGAATTTGGATGAAATATAGTGGGGGAGGTGCAGCGGTTTAGCTCACGACCCCCATAGAAAGTTAGGGCCAAAGTCAACGACGTGACGTATGCATGTAGTGTACATATTATATGTATCAGTGTATTAATGCATTATGACTGTACAACTCATCCAATTTTGCCCTTCATTACAATTACTACAAAGTTTCTTTCAAAACTTTGCATTATAAGGGTAATTGACATAGAGATGAATGGCCATCTCTATTTCAATTTTACAGAAAAACTTTCTTACGAAGTGTAGAACCTAAGCAACAAAAAATGACAAATTTTCACTTTGATGTATTATCAAAACTTTCCCAAGGGGAAGTGCATGACTTTCAGGGGAGGAGCAAAAATTCTCAGAAGAAGTGTAAAACGATCTCAGTGGAGGTGCGCACCTCTCCACAAAATCCAGGCATGCTTTTCTGACACTAATGTATTTCATTTAAGTTTAAACATAATTGGAACACTCATCAACTCTCATTTTCTTTTGACCGAAGTTAAATTCTTTCCTCCACTTGCAGATAATCAAGACAAGCTTCCTGCCAAAAGTCCAGTGACGACCAAGAAAGGGAAAAATACTTCACTTTCATTACCAAAGATTTCCAAGGGGCTGTCAGCTTTGATAGAAGATGGTATGTTGACACTGATATTCTGATCTATAGTATATGACATGGATGGTATGTTGGGTTAGCGCGTTGGTCGATGGTAGGACAATATTTAGGGTTGGTATTAAAATATTCCAGATGTAGGGAATATTGAAGTGTCTTCCTGATCTGATGTGCTCGAAAACTCATGTATGTAGAGTTGTGGCTGATTCTTTCCTTTGATTCGAGGATTTTTCTCCGAGACTAACCCCACACACGCAAAAATCTCACATCTTGTAGCAAATCTGCTAACAAGTCGTCAACAAATTGTGTTCGGACTGCTTGTCCCAAGTTGTCAACAAGTATGGAACAACTTGTTAACAGTTGTAACAACCTTGTTGATATTATCAGACTTGTTGCAAGGTTTGTTCCAACAAGTCCGATACAGTCATGATATAACAATATTGTTACAACCTTGTATTGTCAACCTTGTAACATTCTTGTTATATCATGACTGTATCAGAATTGTTAGAACAACCTTGTCTGATAATGCCATCAATTAAGCTTGTTACAAGTTGTTAATCCTTCCACGTATTTTTCATTTTTTAGAGAGTGATTACAACACGAAGTCCACTAAAAGATCCAAAAAGCAAAAGTTCACTCCCCCAATAATAAATCGTCATTTGAAACATACAGGATTTCTGACGCCATCGAACACCGTTGGACGAAAGACGCCCGGTTCAAAAACGCCGAAATCACGGATCAAAAAAACTCCGTCTTCCCAGCCGAGTAAAACAATTGAAATGAACGAAAAAGAACAGGAATTTCTCGAGAGTGGTGCTGTCAACTTGGACACATTACTGAACGATCAAAGTATTAAATGGTAGCAGATGAAATTGTTTAACTAGTAGTGGGTTTTACGCAGTGAAATACATGCTAAATAATAATTACAATGTAAATAGCGATTTTATTTGTGTGTCTTAAAAATACTTGTTCAACATTGTGTATTATATTAATAAATATTATGTATTGTACTTTACAAGTTTTGCAATTCCACAATACAGAATAATTGTAGTAATTTATGGTGTTTGATATTTCAGCGAGTACATTTGATTCCCAGCCGTCGCTTGCTTCTACGAACGAACAGTCACAGATAAAAACATCGTCTATAATCACGTGAAACTTTCATGTTTGTAACGAGCTTTTGAAGGTTTTAGTGAGCAAAAAACAAAGTTTAATTTATAAATACTTTAAAGGACATTGGCAATAAAAAAAAAGTTGATTTAGTTCATTTGAAAGAACTTTTCAAACTGTATATTAAACTCTATTACAGATTGTTTATATCTTGCTTAGTCCTCAAAATATTTCGACTGAAAAAAGTGAGCTGTTCGCCATCTTGGATTATTGAGGATATGCATGTTACCTCAAGAGAGGGGTCACGCTAATTTTTATCTTGAGAGTAAGCGATCAATATGGGTCCAAAACTTCGTTTCTGTCTGAAATTTAGAAATAATTAAAAACATTTCAAACAATTTTGGATTGTTACTCGGTCATTTTAGAGTAGTTTTATATGGTTAACCCAACTCCTGACGTCATCAAAACCGCAGTTAATGAGGTCAAGAATTAGTTCAACATGGCGGACAGCTCATTAATTTCGGTGTAAATATTTTGGGAACTAAGCAAGATATGGCAAATCGGTAATAGAGTTTAATATATAATTTCAAGAGTTTTTTTAAATGAGACCAACTAATTTTTTATTGCCAATGTCCTTCAAGTTTAATTTGGTTATACCAACAAATCGACAATTTTAGGAAGCTTAAAAATCCCTGATCAGTTTAAAAGTAAAACCTGTTAAATGCATGCTCAGGACAAACATTGAAGCTTCATGTGAGAATATACAATATTTGATTTCAGATATCTGCCACTGCATATTCATATGATATTTTGCAATAACTAAAATATATGCGCGCTCCAGACTTTTGCGAGTACAGCGTTTCCCATATATCTGTTAACTATTAGTTGCCCACCTCAAGAACGTCCCTAAAACATTATCCAAAGTTCTCAAACCTGGATGCAGATTATCTAATGATGCTTTTATCGAGGCCGCCTGTACGGTATAGCCCGCTTCGTGTAGGTCTCGCACCACCTCGTTCACGCGCGATTCTCGCGAGTGTTCCACGTTTATCTCGCCTTTCAATAAGTAGTTCACAAAGGCAGCGAAGTATGGCGTTTCCACTATGCGCGATGATAATTTGTTTTTGAAAAGTAGTTCTAAAAATTCGTTGTCCCAAATTGCTTGGTCAGGCTGTTAATGACAAATATCATATCAAAATTAAGGCTGAAGTTAATAATTATGGACAGTAATTCGCACTTCAAATCAAATTTGTTAAGAACAAAACACATACCTCTAACAGTTTCATTTGGTTTAAAACAAATTCAAACATCTCGGCGTCTCCCACAAGAAGCCCAAATTTAAAAGCCAAAAGTTCTTCGCAATCTTTAAGAAGTGCGTCGAAAATACTTTGACAATCCTACAAATTTTGTTGGGTAAACAAAATTTTGAGTGAGGTTAAAATATGTATAATATTTAGACTCGAAATTTCGATCTAAGTTGTTCCGTACCTTTTTATTCAGCTGGATGTTATCAGCCTTCTCACGTGCTATTTTCACGACTGATGAGCCATCTTTTGCGTCGGTGATCAGCTTTGAGAAAACTAGGTACCACGCCCCTTCGCCATCCTGCGTTGCTTCAAATGGTGGCCAAATGTTGAGCAGCGAGGCCACAGCCAACACTTGGTCGTTGGTCGTAGTTTTGTCAAATATTTTCCCAAACAGCCGATGAAGACTTTCACTTGATTCCATGTTGCCAATCGAGAGCTATGAAGAATTTAAAGAATGTTAGTCCATGCATTGTGTCTTTCATCTTTGTGATTGGGGCAAGATTCTAGCAATATGTAGTTGTCTGACTATAATTTAACCTCACTTGTATGTGAGAAGAGTGCTTTCAATTTGACTCTACCAAACATCACAAGTATTCTCCAATTATTAAGCTTACTTTCTTCTGTAGTAAAACTGGACCAAGAAGAGATGACTCTTATTGGACCTCTAGGAAGAACAGTTTAGAACTGATAGAGCTATCCAGTATAAATAAAGTTAGTTTAATTTAGGTTTCCTCTTGTAGTAACACTGGATCAATAAGAGATGATTCTTAATGGACCTCTAGAGAGAACAGTTTAGAACTGATAGTGCTATCCAATATACATGAAGTTAGTTTAGTTTAGGTTTCCTCCTGTAGTAACACTGAATCAATAAGAGATGATTCTGACTGGACCTCTAGGAAGAACGGTTTAGAACTGATAGAGCTATCCAACATAAATAAAGTTAGTTTAGTTTAGGTTTTCTCCTGTAGTAACACTGCATTAACAAGAGATGATCCTTACTGGACCTCTAGGAAGAACAGTTTAGAACTGATAGAGCTACCCAATATAAATGAAGTTAGTTTAATTTAGGTTTCCTCCTGTAGTAACACTAGAGTTAGGAGTGTCCTTAATGGACGTCTAGGAAAAACAATTTAAAACTAATAGACATATCTGGTAAACGTAAACTTTACTTTAGAGTTTAGTTTGGTTTAGTTTAGTTTAAGATCAAATATTTACGATCAATGACACTTTCCTCGGCACCTACCTCAATTTCCCAATGTTTATGTACGATGGACTGAGTCTGATGGTAAAGTAACAAAGTCTTATCCTCCCCAGTCAACTTGACAGTTTTCTCAATCAACTGCAGGACTTGATGTTTTACTTCGGGTGAAACGGTCTCGTCTGCACAAAATGTCCGAATTTCCTGTAAGATGTCTTCTTCTTTGATGTATTTTTTCGTTACATTGTCACTGTTCAGATGTTGATGTAGGGTGGTTAATAATTTGGTGAGAAGCTCGAATGATGTGGTCTGCTTAGACATAAACTTTGGCCTATCATCAGGGTCGCTGTAATACAAGCAGATTGAGTATGCTATAAACCTTTGAAAATAGGCCGTGGTAATGTTTAAATGTTTTGACACTAGGAAGTATTTGGAGCTACTTTGCAAACGCTGTTTCATAATTTTACTGTCCTGTTGAAATAAGAGTATAGCACACACACCTGTATGTATCTAACACAGTCCTCAGAGATTCCTTGACAATATCTCGCGTCTTAAAACCTTGTACACATTGCTGGTTTGCCAACTCCAACAAATCTTTAACAATGTCTAATGAATCACCATTGCACAGCACTTGCACACATAGTTCTTTGACTTTCTCAGCTTCTGACCGTGAGAGGTCGTAGAGTCTCGCATATTTAACATGCTGCATCTGTGGGCAAATTTAAAGCATATATTTGATTAGCTTACCACGTGCATTGTAGAAGTCTGCCAACAAGCCGTCAACAAGTTGTGTTCGCACTGCTTGTCCCAAGTTGTCAACAAGTATGGAACAACTTTGTTGTTGATATTATCAGACTTGTTGCAATGTTGTTCCAACAAGTCCGATACAGTCATGATATAACAATATTGTTACAACCTTGTGTCGTCAACCTTGTAACATTCTTGTTATATCATGACTGTATCAGACTTGTTAGAACAACCTTGTAGCAAGTCTGATAATGCCATCAAGCTTGTTACAAGTTGTTAACAGCTTGTTCCAAACTTGTTACAACAACTGGGAACAAGCAGTGCGAACACAACTTGTCAACAGATTGTGAACAGATTGTGCGTTTTTACGCGTGTAGTTACAATGGAAAAGTAAACGCGTAAAAATCTGACAGCTTGTCAACAAGATGTGTTCGCACTGCTTGTTCCCAGTTGCTGACAAATCTGGAACAAGTTGTTATCATCTTGTAACAAGGTTGATGAGGCCAACAGACTCGCAACAAGTTGTTCCAACAAGTCTGATATCGTCTGCACGTAACAAGTTGTTAACAAGTTGACGACAACAAGCTTGTATCAACTTGCTACGAACAGCCTGTATTAGTCTTGTTGAAACAACTTGTATAAAGTCTGTTACTGTCATCAATCTTGTACCATGGTGAAAGCAGCTGGTATCCCGATATCGGCTTGACAACAAACTTATTTTAGAACCGATAAAGCTATCAAGTATAAAACATTTGCTTAGCTTTACTGACGTACTTGCGCCGACTCCTCCAATTTCAAAACGATTTCGTTATCTAAGGAAGTCAGATGTTTCAACGACTGCTCGAAATGTTTCGTAACTTCTGCAAGAGTAATACTGCTCTCTGCATATCTACAAAAGTACCAAAAATACTTGTGAAAAAATAGCTGACTAATATAACTGACTTTACTGAAGAGAACATGCTTTGTTAAGGAAGATATCTCAAACGTCGTGATTCAGTGTTGTCGACAAAGTACACAAACCACGACAGCTTATTGTAGAATACTATCTACACTGGACCACCACATTTGAGATATCTTTTTCAGGTAGTTCAGACACAAACCACGACAGCTTATTGTAGAATACTACCTACACTGGACCACCACGTTTGAGATATCTTTTTCAGGTAGTTCAGACACTTATTGTAGAATACTACCTTTACCCCCTCACGTTATTCGGTAAAGTGTACCTGTACACTTACATATTTTCTTTGGATTTCTTTCGCTGTCCAGCAGCATTTCTTTGGCGGGAAAATTTCAATACTCGTCTCAAGATTTCATCTCGTAGGTCGGTAGTCAACGTATCAATAGCTTTCTCTGAGAACGTGAGTGAGTCGATCAAGTCGACCAGATCAGACAGAGAAAGACGATCTAGGTATCCATGTACTTCTTCGTAACGATGGATCCAATCAACCTGGAATAAGCAAGGCAATTTTCATTAATTTTGAAGTAATAGGTTGTTGATAAGTAGTTGAGTTAGTTGGTTAGCAGGCAAGTAAGTGGGTGAGTTGAGTAGGAAGGTAGCTACGTCATGGCCGGATTTTGAGGGGAGGTGTGGAAAGGTGCGCATCTCTCCTGAGATCGTTTTTAAACCTCCCCTGAGAAATTTTGCACCTCCCCTGAAAAGTCATGCATTTCCCCTTAGGAAAGTTTCAATGATAGATCAAAGTGCAAATTTGACATTTTTTGGTTGCTTAGGTTCTACACTTCGTAAGAAAGTTTTTCTGTAAAATTGAAACAGTGACAACCATCTCTGTGTCGAGTAATGCAATGTTTTGAAAGAAACTTTGTAGTAATTGTATCGAAAGGCAAAATTGGATGAGTTGTACAGTCATGATTCATTAATGCACTGACCACATATGTACACTACATGCATACGTCACGTCGTTGACTTTGGCCCGTTCTAAGTCCTAACTTTCCATGGGGGCCGTGAGCTACACCGCTGCACCTCCCCTAATTTTTTTTCACCTCCCCCACTATTTCACCAAAATCCGGCCTTGATCAAGGTAGGTGGGTGGGTAGCCTGCGAACAGGCTCTCAAGCTGAATTGAGAGCCTGCATCGATGACTGATGAATTTGAATATCTGCCCCGTAACGTTCGTTTTTCCAAATATGGAATGTCTATCCTTATATGGTGTTGTTTACAACTTTCGTGCAAACTAAATTTAGACCGTGCAAACTAAATTACAGTTTATACAGTCTCTCGAAATATAAGACATTCAAGCAAAAGTTTAAATGTTTTAAATACTGTTTTCTCAAAACAGAACATTTCGTGCTTTGAGATAAGATGGCCAAGACCAATTTGATCAGTTAATGTGTTTTTATGCATAGTGCTTGCAGTTGACATCTATAGAGCTCAGCGGAAACATATAAATTATAGCATCTGACCAATGAGAATTTCGCGTCACGATTTCAGACGCAGATATTCAAATTCATTAGTCATCGATGCAGGCTCTCAATTCAGCTTGAGAGCCTGTTCGCAGGCTACTTCGCTGAATGAAAGTGAACTCTCCAAATTATTGGCAGATAAGGATAGTGAAAGCACGAAAAAAGCCACAAAGGGGTAAATAGAAGTAGAAATAGAATATTTAGCTGACCTTTGACTTTGTGCAAGGTGTTTGATATTCAAATTGTACTTTTCCTTCCTCATGAACAGGAATCGTTTTATATGTTTCTCATGTCTTTAACTCAATTCGATCCGCCAATATTAATTTCCGATGTATATGACGGGAAGATTAAATATTAAAGAACTTCGCGAGTATTTGCAGTAGACATACGAAAATACCACCAAAAAATTCCGCTTGATCGATACTATATATTCAGAAATATTCATATAATTTTGTTGTTACTCGCTCAATTTCAAGCGAATTTCTTACCTTGAAATGTCCAATGCGGTGAAATTTATGCAAATGACACATTATCAATTTT